CCCCTCTGGTCCCCTTCCCCTGCCCAACCTGCTGCTCTGCTACCTGCACTATGCTCCCTGTCTGATCTGCTACTTTATTTTCTTCCCCTGCTCTTATCTGCTGCGGTGCTCCTTGGTCCATCCCTTCTCAGTGCTGTAGGTTGGCTGCTCCTTCACTATTAGATGCTTCAAATTTTAGCCTGGGCTATCCATCATATAATCACATTAGGACAGGAGAAGGAGAAAGAAAGAGAATGGTCAGATGGGTAGTGAACATGTCATATTCGGTTAAGTGTTCTCTGTCTACAAAAGAGAAGTTATTTCAGTTTGGATACCAATATTTTCATCCCATCATGACAAAACCAGAGTAGGTGAGTCAGCCCTGTAACTTCACTTCAGAGTGTGGAGATGACTGCAGATAGACTGCTGGGTATGAAGAGCTCTGCATGGGCAACAATATTTTCAAGGACAGGAAAAATGACACAACCAACTGAGTAATTACAGAAAACTGCTTTCACTTTTGTTTTTTTTGTATTAAGGGTTAAGCAGTTATGAAAGCTATTGCAGGAATCCTCTTACCTAGTACATACAACAAAAGAAACAGCAAAGTTATTTTAACCATGTATGAAAAGTATAGGACAAGACAACTTAAATAATGGCATTGCTTTTCTTTTCTACATCTTTTGGGTTCCTACCTATTTCACTTGTACATGTAACATTCATTATTTTGATATTCTAAACCAGCAGCTTGCAAATACTATAATACAGTATATTATTCAAAAATAAAATCTTACTTTCTTGGATACACTCTAGTGATTCCACCATCCGTAACAACAAAACGTGCAACAACTCCATCATTACTGAAAGAGAGAGAGGTCTAAATGAAAACTAACTGAAATCATTACCAGCTTCACCATCACAATAGTCATGGTTTAAGTGGATAATTGTAAAGGAACCACCTACAGCTTTTTACCCAGCATTAAATACTCAAATATACATACATTTAGCAAATCTAGTTTTACATATTGACTTTGATTTCAAACAACAAAACAAATTGTACTTTTGGAGCTTCAATATTTGTAAAATTCCAAAAATGCACCACCAGCTATATAGGTAACAAAAAGTGTACTCACGGAGCCTGCTTACTCCAGAAATTCTGCGCAAGGTCATCTGTAAATCCAGCATCCAGCAAAACTCGAATGACCATATCAGTATTACCTAGCAAAAAAGACAAGTTAAAATCACTGAGAGGACATGCTTTTTAGGTCTTTAAAACCTGATACAAATGAAACTCCAAGTTGCTAGGCTCCTGACAACTAAAACATTCACGGCTTCTAATGAGAATTTGTGTAGGTTAATTAAATAGTTAGGCCCAAACTATGAAACCTGAGATGTTCATTTTGACTACTGAATCACTACATATGTTCAAGTTTGACTGCTTTATATTGTTCATCCAAATCAGTTTGTATCCAAAATGACCTGGTTTTAGAGATGAAAATGTCTGCTGCTTCCAGACTGCAAGAGGAGTTTCAGATGTTGAACAGCACTGAAAATCAAACCACTTTTATTTAGGTGCCTAAAATTAAGAAAACTATTTTGAAATATTTAGCTTAACTTCAGCTTTGCCACCATTACATCCTATAAAGGTATCCATATGCCAGCAAAATAAGTTGTTTAATGGAGAAGCATCTCAATTTTGCAAGGATGCTCTAGCAAAGATGTAAGTTAACATATTGTTATTGTTAAAAGCACATTTTCACACAAACATCTGACATTTCCACTTTTTCACACCATGTAATTATACAAAACGCAGTGCCTACTCTTTTCCACACAGCAAAGAGCTTCTTTGCAGAAAATGAAGAAACATCTTCCAATTATAAAATAAATTAACTGAATCTACTAGTTAAGAACATGTGTTAAAAATACAAAAAACACCAAGGAATTTTTCCTTCCCTTGGTGATGACTGTATTTTAAACTATCAAATTATATAGATTATATCTTCATTAGACCTTGAAAAGATTCAGATGTCATTGTTTCTCAGGTTTTGCTGGGGGACAGAATGAGAAGATTAGAGAAATGAGAACATTTTTCAGGAGAAAATTCTTTAAATTCCATATTGAAGTATTATACATTTCTACTTAACAGTCATGGAAGATTCAGATGAAAGGAGTGAAACAAACAGAAACACCCTCTGTCTGACTCCACTGCCAGTCAGAGTCGCTGTGGTAGAAACCTGTGATTACCTCCACAGATGATCTTACAAACATTTTCTTCAGTTTTGCTCCTCAGTTTCATTCGGAGGCTTGGAATCAAACAACCTCCGAATGTTACTTGGGCAAAACCCAACTTTTAACTATTTCCACATCAAAATAAAAAGGTCAATTAATCCAATTTAAAATCTGAATTTATAATGAAGCCTTCTGCATTTCAACTTCCAGACCTCATTGTCACCTGTGCCAATCCAATCTCAATTAATACTGAAAAAGGATAATGAACTGTTACGTTTGTCAACACTTTTCTTACCCATTCCTAAGAATGCTTATTAAAAGTGAATTATAGTTAAGAAAAAATAAATCTGAATATCATTTTGAATTTTAAATGGAAAGGTAGCAGTAATTTGACAATCTGCTGCGTGGTTCAATTACTCCCAAAAGCCCTAGCATGTACCAAAGCTGTCACTAAATATGTCCTTAATACTCATTTAAGGAATGGTAATACAGATTACTGGTTTAGAGTTTTCATTTTCTAAAATTTCTTTCTGATTTATGTCATTTGAGATGAATAATCTTATTTCCAAGATTGACTCAGAAGATGTAAGCAAAATGATAGTCATTATATAACTATACTATGTGGACAGAGGAGGGGCACTCTGAAGTGCTTTGGGTTAGAATACAAGGCAGTCGAGGGGAAACAGACTTAACAGTGGGGGTCTACTACAGACCTCCCAACCAAGGGGAAGAGCTAGACCAGGAATTCTTAAGTCAGCTCACAGAGGTAGTTAGGTCAAAGGATGTGGTCGTCATGGGGGACCTGAAATTTCCAGACATCTGCTGGGAACAGCAGTCAGCAAGGTCTGACCACTCACGTAAGTTCCTAGCCAGAATGCAGGACCTCCATCTAACCCAGGAGGTGCACAGCCCCACCAGGGGAAACGCCTTGTTGGACCTGGTGCTGGCCACGGCTGACGACCTGGTGAGGGGTCTGCGGGTTCTCGACCACCTGGGCGACAGTGATCATTGCCTGCTGGAATTCACCATCCAATGCAACGTGGCAAAGGCCTACAGCAAGGCAGCAGCCCTAGATTTCAGGAGGGCGGACTTCAATGAACTAAGGAGAATAGTCGGGGAAGCACTGAGGTCCCGGAGGGGAGGGGAGCCAGGTGTCCAAGGAGAGTGGTCGCTCCTTAAGGAGATGATCCTCCAAGCCCAAAGGGAGGTAATCCCAACACGGATCAAAGGGAGCAGGAGGGCACATAAGCCCCCATGGCTCACCAAAAGCATCCAGGAATGTCTCCTAGCTAAAAGGGAGGCACGCACCCAATGGAAGGGAGGGGCCATCACCAGGGAGGA